AAACAAACACAGAATCAGCTAGGCTGGTTGGTTGGCAAGGCTCTCCCTGGAGACTCTCAAAAAATTATTCTTGTGGAAAACCCATTTTGTGCCTCTCAAAGTAATTCTTAATTTTGGGAAAGCAAGAACTTGAAATTCCCATAACAGGGTCACTTAGATTACCCTGTACTTCATTATTAACACAATGAAAACACTTTCTTATAATTTTTTAAAATATCACTTTATCAGGGGCTCGTACAACTCTTATCACAATCCATCCATACATCCATTGTGTCAAGCCCATTTGTACATTTGTTGCCATCATCATTCTCAAAACATTTGCTTTCTATTTGAGCCCTTGGTATCAGCTCCTCATTTTTTCTCCTCCCTCCTCGCTTCCCCCTCTCTCATGAACCCTTGATAATTTATAAAATGAGGTCATACAATATTTGTCCTATTGTAATGGGCTTACACTGGTCAACATAATGTCTCAATGAGTCAAGACTTCATTTCTCTTACTGGTTACATAGAATTTCACTGTTGCATTGACCACATTTTGTTTATCTATTCATTTGCTGATGGGCATTTGGGTTGTTCCCCGGTTTTGGCTATCGTGAACAGTGTTATAATGAACACTCGTGTACAAATCTCTTTCGAGCCTTTGGGGTCTATACCTAAGAGGGGAATTGCTGGTTCACATGACAGTTCTAGTTTTAGTGTTTGTGAGAAACCACCAGACTCTTCTCTACAATGGCTCTACCATTTTGTTTTCCCATGTGAATGGATAAAGGTTCCAATTCCCTCACATCCTCATCAGTATCTGGTGATATCTGGTGCTTTCCAGATATGGGTTGGAATGGACTTGATAGCAGTGAGAGCAGGAAGGAAATGGTATCTCACTGTGATTTCGAGTTGCGAAACAACTCTGATGGCTAGGAAGATGATCATCAAGGTTATAATCTATAAGGAAGCTTATTTCTGTATCTTCCTCCCACAAAGCAGCTGTGGCTTCAAGCCATTGACCTTCCACTTACCTGGTAAGTGCTTAAAGACTGTGCCATCAGCGGTCCTTAAACTCATGTTAAAAACTCACTCACTGCCACTGAGTCAATTAATGCTGACTCAGTGACCTTATAGGGCAAGGTAGAATTGCCCCTGTGAGTTTCCAAGACTGTGACTATTTATGGGAGTAGAAAGCTCCCTCTCTCCCGTGGAGCAGCTGGTGGTTTCAAACAGCCAATCTTGCAAATTGCAGCCCAACACATAACCAGTACGCTACCAGGGAAACAGTACACATTTTTAAAGAACTTGAAGGTTAGAGTTTCTTACTTTTTCTCCCCAAAACACCAACTGTTTATTTAAATTTCAAAATTATTCTTATGATTATTTCTTTTTTATTATTATTTGTGATTTATCATTGTTATGATTGAACCATGTCCTCCCCAAACATGTGTTGTATATCATAACCCTTATTATACCTATGGTGGCACAGTGGGTTAAGCATTGGCCTGCCAACCTCCAGGTCAGTGTTTCAAACCCACCAGCTGCTCCCAGGGAGAATGAGGTTGTGCATTCCCATAAAACAGTCTTCAGTTCTACTGTCCTACTGGGTTGCTGTGAGTCAGCATACGCTCAACTGTAGTGAGAATACCTGTGGCTGTAGTTCCATTTGGGAATGGTGTTTATTATGTTAATGAAGCAATAATTGTATAAGGTGTAATTTAATCCCTTTTGAATGTAAGGAAATTAAGGAAGCAAGCAAACAAGCAGAGAGGGGAGGGAGGGAGGAATAGATGCCAAGCCATGTGAAGACCACCAAGTAACAGAAACAGAGGCTAAGAAGAGACATGGAATTTTCCCTGGAATAGACAGGGAAAGAAATTCTTCCTTCTAGAACTGGTGCCCTGAATTCAGATTTCTGTTTGTTAAAGTCACCCACCTAGGCAATTTCTGTTATTACAACACTGGCTAACTAAGATAAATACCTAAATGAGATTAGAACCAGTGTCCATTATAGAGGTTAGTACAAAGAATGCGTCAAGAAATGTAAAACAGATAATTAGCATGCTCACAATTCCTGAAAATGAAGTAATTCCTGCCCCCCCCCCTCCCAAACCATTTAATTAGGCTTGGCATTAAACAAGCAGCCATCGTGCAGGGAAGCAAATAAGCACATATGGAAGAAGCACACCAGCCTGTGTGATCGTGAGGTGTCGATGGGAGCAGGTATCAGGTAACAAAAAATCCCAAACAAACAAGTATATCGACGTGAAAGAGGGAGGTTGGGATGGAAACCCAAAGCCCATGTGTAGACAATACGAAATCCCCCTACAGAAGGGTTACAAGGAAGGGACGTTTCAACCAGGGTGCAGTATAGCAGACAAAGAAACACACATCATTCCTCTAGTTCCTGAATGCTCCTCTCCACTCACCCCACCCACTACCATGGCTCAGTTCTACCTTACAGATCCAGCTACACCGGAGTACATACATTGGTACTGAGAAGAGCTCTTGACACATGGAATTCAGGACAGATAAAACCCTCAGGAACAGTAGTGGGAGTAACAATATCATGAAGGTAGGGGGATGGTGGGGTGGGGGTGGGCGTGAGAAAGGAGGAACTCATCATAAGGTTAGATATATAGCCCTCGCCAGGGGGACGAATAACAGAAAGGTGGGTGAAGGGAGACAACGGATAGTGTAAGACACAAAATGCTAATAATAATAATATATAATTGATCAAGGATTCACGAGGATGGGATGGTGGGGAAAAAAGGAGGCGCTGATACCAAGGGCTCAAGTAGAGAGAAATTGGTTTTGAAATGTTGATGGCAACATATGAACAAATGTGCTTAACACTACTGAAAGATGGATTGTTGTAAGATTTGTAAGAGCCCCCAATAAAATGATTAATTAAAAAAAAACATCATTTAATTGGGAGCTAATACAGATATCATATCGTTCCATAGTTCAATCACATCAAGCAGTCTTGTACAATTGCTACCACAACAGTTTCAAAACAGTCTCTTCCTTCTGGAACGCCTTGATATCTGCTCCACTCCCCCCCACCCAGTTCCTCTAGTTCCTGAATGCTTCTCTCCACACACCCCGCCCCCACCCAGGAACCCTACTCTACTTGCTATCTCTATAGGTTCATCAGTCCTGGGTTTCATGTACCGAAAAACAAAATAAACATATAACAATAATTCAGGAGGGCTACAAATTTGATACATTCACATTTTGAAAACGAATCTTCTTCAGATACTGAGGAGGATATTAAACATTTTAAAAGGTAAGCATGAATACACGTATTTTGAAACAGTGAAGTTTTCATATTAAGCTAAATACTACAGAATTGTCTAGGAATAGCTGTAATTTCTCTTCTATGATTAATGCAAAATGAACTTTCATGTTAATCATGGACCAGGAATCTGCTTTGCTGTCACTCCATCTAATAGAAACACCTTGAGCTTGCAGTTTGTCCAACATGCACTAGACTCCCAGCAATCATGTGGTGGTCAGTGAGCCTGGTCAGTCCATCAAAGCACATGTTTGTCTGATTTCTCAACCAACCAAACATCTGTCACTGTTTGATCCTAACATAAAAGCCCAAAATCAGACTTGTCTCCAACTTCCAACCCTAATATAGGCTATTAATGATTAAGAGAGACAATGTGACAGATACTTTTGATAACCTCTTTGAAGATAGATGTAATATTTACCCCTTTAAGTGAAAAAAATGGGTCACACAATCAAACTCTGAATTAATTTAGCAGGGTAAAATAACTCATAAACCACTAATTAAGCTATAACTGATTGTTACATCTAAGATATCTCATCCAAAAGAAGAGTTATTTAACTGAAACAATTCCATTTAATTCAGCACATCATGAAAGATTGACTTATGCTTCAGGGAAAATATCATAAATCATATTTTAAAAATATACTTTTCTCTTTAGTTGAACATGATAAAATTTAAAAATGGAATTGCGATTGGAATTACAAGTCATTTTTGGAAGAGTTGGCATCGTTATAAAATTCCATTTCGACAGCCAGAGTCTTTCTTCACAGGTGCTGATGTTGGAAGTTGGTGTCAGGTTGGACCTCAACACACGTCAACCCCATGTGTTACAGACAGAATTCCTCCATAGAGTTTTCTCGGTTACATATACATTTTATAAGGCTTGTTATCAATCTATACTTTTAAAACAACTAGAGAAACAAAACAAAACCTGGAACATAATGTGTCAGACACTAACACTGTGACTTAGGAGAATCAATTTACCTCTGCTAGTATTTGTCTTATATCTAGAAAGAAGTTTGTTTATCAGAGCACTTTGGCTGATTAAAAATTGCAAAAGTTACTCCAAATTAATTTTAAAGGACATTGTTTAACAGACATAAGCACTTTAGTAAAAAGGAAAGACTATCTGGGGGATAGAGGCTTCTATTTTGTCCACTTTAATTATAGAGGACTTTTTAGACGACTAAATTGCTTATATAAGGTATAAAATTAGAAGTTTGCTTACTGAATATTTTATCATGATCACTTCTATTTCAAAAGCAGTCTAATGTTTTAAGCTCCTCTTCATCTTAGGATCATAAGCATTAATCATTTACCCAAATATAGGTAATAGGTTAAATGTTTTTGGCATATTTACCTTTTTTCCTTTGAAGTTGAGGGTACCAGGTTGCTCCAGGACCCCATAAAACAAGCACATAATGTTGACCTTGGGTCTGTTCCACTGTTAACATAACTTTCCTTTGCTTCTGCCCTCTATAATTGTATAATGCTTCTAGAAAAGAAAAAGTATTCAAATTGACAATAATCTAGCATATGTGATACCATATCTTAATATCTAATAAGTAAATAATGATACGTAAATGGTGTCATAAAGTGGTCTTATATCTTATTTATTTTTTAAAAAATAATTTTATTGGGGGCTCTTATAGCTCTTATCAAAATCCATACATACATCCAGTGTGTCAAGCACTTTTGTACATATGTTGACATCATCATTTTCAAAACATTTTCTTTCTACTTGAGCCCTTGATTTCAGCTTATTTTTTCCCTTCCTCCCTCATGAACCCTTGATAAATCATAAATTATTATTTTCATATCTTACATCATCCACTGTCTCCCTTCACCCACTTTTCTGTTATTCGTCACCCTGAGGCGGCGGGGGCGGTGGGGGAGATGTTATATGTTGTCTTAATTATTTCACAATTATAACAAAAACGTTTACCTGTCAGTATAGTGATGTCAACAACTTTCAGTGCTGCGTGGACCAAGGTTTCAGGCTGAAGGTGCTCCAGTTCTACAAATTCTACATTGCTCACTTTCTGAGGCTGCCTCTCTGGAAGGTCTCTGAGGCAGGAGTGCTTTGAAGACACATACGCCAGTAAGTCCTGAAGGGCAACAGCACTAAATACACTGGAATCTAAGGACGTAAAACACACATACATAAAGGATGGCAGGATTATATATAACATATATATTAAAACATAAGAATTTCTTAGGACTGTATGTTGTAATACGGGAATAAACGTGATACAAGCTTTCATGTCTGTAATCAAACCAAAAAAAGGACACCAAAATCACTGCCATAGAATCAATCCTGACTCATGACAACCCCACAGGACAGGGCAGAGCTGCCCCTGTGCGCTTCCAAGATTGTAACTCTTACAGGAGTAGAAAGTCTCCTTTTTCACCCACAGAGCAGCTGGTGGCTTCAAACTGCTGACCCTGTGGTTAGCAGCCCAACACATAAACACTACTCCACCAGGACTCCTATGTCTATAACAGAGATACCTTATTCTTGACTCCATTTAGATACAAAAATAAAACTTGATATTTACTACCAGTGAAACGGAATTATTTATGTACCATGAAACTAGTTACACCTCCTTACTTTTCTATTTGATAACATAGTTTTCCTACTAATCAACCTAACTCAAATATTTTTGACTCTTCTAGCAGTCAATTTATCCAGTCAGTTTCCAATCCCGGAGTCTAATTTGATCATGTTTTCCTCAATTATCTCAACCACTGCCATTACCAAAACAATACTCTACAGGCCTCTCGCAAGTCCTGGACATGTTTCCTCATTTCAGTTGTTTCCTGGATTATGCCTTTGAACAATCTAGGAGTCAATAACCTTTTCCCTCATCTGAGGTCCATGCCTGTCTGTTTTCACATTTATCATCTGCTGATAGGGTCACTGCCCTTGTACATTTCTTCCGCCTTTTTTCTAATATAAAAATCAATTTCTCTATGTTAGGAGATCCATGAATTTGGATGGGAAAAACATCACTTCTTCATTTCAGGAATCACTAGCACTTCCTTCCATTATAAGTACGGCAATAAACCACACTTGTATTTGTAGAACTTGTGACTGATCACCAATGGAAATCACATATTGTGTATCGCATTGCACATACTGCAGATAACTTGAATATTATACATGCTCACAACTACCTTGAAATGACAATTGTTACTCTGCTAAATCTTGTTATTTAATGTACCGATGAGACACATAAATAAATGATACCACAGTGCTCAAAATATTTTTATTTATTTCTTTTCATATAATTGTTTCATTGCAATCCTAAGTATTCTATGCATTTAAAATATTCTATTTTTAAAACATTAGATCATTGAAATTAGTGATAATTATATAATTTTAAATATACATAAAAGGTTATGAACCCTTTTCTTTAACCTGGAGATATATTCTGCCCTTCTCATTTGATAGCTAGAGAACTCCTAGACAGCTACCTCAAATCCAGCTTCACCATTCCCTCAATAAAGCCCTCTCTAACGTCCCTGCATTTTTCCCCTCTTATGTGTTTGTAGGAATGTTTGTATGCATTTTTCATATCCTCAGCATGGTGTTTGTTATTGTCTTATCTCAAAATTTAAATTGTTAACTCACTCAATGGATCGTATAGCACACATTGTATTCCTAGAACCTGGTATAATGCCTGACACACAGCACAGATGATCAATAAATATTTATGAAATGAGTGAGCACCATAAGGAATACAAGGGGGTACTCCCGTCCAAAAAAATGAAACAAAGCTCTGCTGAGATGTAGGTGAGTGCTGTGATGCAGCCACCACCACTGATTCCACACAACTCTGCACCACCTGGCCTGTGGTCTCCCTGTGTTACGCATCATTGCACGTGGCTGTGTGAGTCTGTAGAGGGATTGTGGACTGGTATCAGACTTATAGACTTGAGTTGGACTGGGTTGGAACGTTTTATAGATGCACGATTACTTCTTGATATAAAGCTCTTTCTTACACATATATGAGTGTCACTGCATGTTTCTCTAGTCAACCCTGCCTGACACAAATAAATAACCAATATTTCCCCAATGAGAAGTTATGCAAAGAAGGAGCATATACTTCAAAGACGAAGAAACAGGCAAGGGGGCTTCAAAATATTCCTGGAAAAATTTCCAGTATCTTTTAATTAAAATTTTCACTGAGCTTTTTGAAGCTCCCCTCATATGTCCAGTCAACCTCATCAGTGATTAGGGAAATGCAAATAAAGAACATGCCATTTTACATCCATTTGCTTGACAAAGACTTAAAAGTCCGAAGGTTTAAGTACTAGGCTGAAGATTCAGAGAATCTCAACTATTCTACTGGTGGTGTACATTGTTGTAAGCACTAGAGAAAGAGTCCTCATCTCTTCCTAAAGCTGTGAATCGTTGACATTTGACACAACTATTCTATTTTAAGAGATATAAACAAGCAAAACACTTGCACATGCACAATAGTCAACATGGATGAGAATGTCCAAGGCAGCACTTTTCACAACTGCAGGAACCACAAAGACCATGTACAGTCAGAGGAGAGGGAATGAGTAAAATGAAGTGTAGTTACACAAGAAAATATTTTGTAGCCGCCAAATAAACTGCAGTGTTACCTGACAACATAAATGAACTCTAGCAGTATCATTATTATGAAAGGCAAGAATAAAATATCTTTAATATATATATTTTAAGTTTTATTGGTATAGACTTCACATTCATGATTTGATTATTCAATCATATTAAGATTTGTGCAATCACCACCACAATCAATTTCAGAACATTTTCTTCTCACACTCATTGTTGTTATCTCCCCATTTCCCCTCACCCTCCTCTGCCACACCCTTATGCAATTATCAATCCAGTTACTATCTCTGCCTGTCCTGGATTTCATATACAGAAAATCATACAAAACACAAACATGAAGGAAACAAGCAAAAAACCAACGTCAACAACTAGGGAAAACACAGGAAAACCTCAATCAAAAAGAAAGCAGGAAATCCTGAAATCTGAACCAATTTTAAAATGGGTCAAAAGGAAGATCAAATGATAAGGTGTTACATCTTAACCTGACTACCATCATTGACTGTACAATGCTCTCTGATAGGAAAGCTCGTCACATCCTCTAGAGCAGTGGTTCTCAACCTTCCTAATGCGGCGACCCTTTAATACAGTGCCTTATGTTGTGGTGACCCCCCAACCATAACATTATTTTTGTTACTACTTCACAATTGTAATTTTGCTACTATTATGAATCGGGCGACCCCTGTGAAAGGGTCGTTCGACCCCCAAAGGGGTTGCGACCCACAGGTTGAGAACTGCTGGCTCTAGACTATGTTCAGAGGGGATTCATCAGAGGCTTAGTCCATGTGTGGACCCTGCAAATGGACTCTGGGCTTCCACTGTCATCCATAGCCTTCTGCAAACCAGGTGGATTCACAATGTAAGCTCTCATATCATTTTCTCCTTTGGATTTGGATTTTATTATTTACACTCCTTGGATCACACAGACTGGTGTGCTTCTTCATGTGGACTTAGTTGATGCCCCACTTAGATGGCTACTTGTTTTCAGACAAGCCTAAGAGCCCAGATGCTATGCATTCTGATACCTGGGCACCATCTGGTTTCTTCACAACACTTTGCTCTCGCACCCATACCTTGTAGAAGTACTTTCTGACTTACCCTCTGTGTTAGTCTGGGTAAACTAGGGAAACAAATCCACAGAAACACACATGTATAAAGAGTTTTATATCAAGGGTAAGCGTACATTAAGAAAGCATCCTAACCCAGTGCTCTCCAAGCCCATAACTCCAACATTAGCCCATATGTCTGACACCCATCTACAAAGCCCTCAATCTCACAAAACACATGCAATGACACCGACTGCAGGAGGAAACCGAACCAGTGAGCATGTAAGCATGTCAGCGCTGGCAGGGGTCTCCACACAGCTGCTCCAGCACCCAGTGCTGCATCAGGGTAGGTCCATATGGCTTCTCCTCAGGGATGTCTCGCAGGAAGTGAACCTAGCCAGCTGAAGCAGGAAGCAGGCTAAGGCAGCTGCACCTTGGTCCGACCATCACAAAGCAAGAGACCCGAGAACTAGAAAGGCGAGGCTCACTGAGCCATTTGTCTCTTCGCCCTTCAGTTAATCCCACATGTGTTTATCAACCAGGTTGGTACAATAAACCTGAACTATCTCACCCTCATATAAAACTTTGCAAAAGACTTCTGCTTTTGCCTTCATTATTGTGAAGTGTTAAATGTTGTACAAACCTAATCTCAATAATTTGATATAAATTTGACACTAATAAAAAGGGAAAAGAAGCCAAACACAACAAAATGGCAGCAACCAACCCCATACTTCTTAAATTTGATTTAAGTGCATTTTAAAAAATGCTACTTTCACTTTTACTGAAGAAAATAAACTTCTCTACTGATAATCTCTTTGGAAACATGCTATGAAATACTATTCTATTATGTTTATACACTTAACATGCTAGGAAACTACTGCAAGCAACATATGTCTTACATTCTTCAGGCTGGACAGATGAATAATTCCCAAGATTTAATAGTTGACTAGTAAATGTTGATTGTAGTACTGTCTCACCAATCCACTGATCCTCATGAATAGTGACATCTGGAGAGGGAAAAGTTGTAATACTACATAAATTCCTTCATATTACTCATGCGCCCATACGCCAGGCAAGGGAAGTGCAGATAGATAAATGATCTGCCTAAAGGTACAAAATGATAAAGTAGCATATCTGAGATCCAACAGTATGGAAGCTAACTGCTCCACAAAGAAATAGTTAATGACTTGTGTTTACATAGGGATACACACACACATACACACACATGTAAATGGAT